GTTGAGAAATTATACTACATAACCTTATATATAACATTATATTAGGCACTTTATTTTACTTGATCTTTTTTAATTAATATATATAGTTTCTTTATTTTAACTCATTAGAGTTAAACGAAATACCAGGAATTGTTGTATAGTTTAAAACAATTATCTATCCGTGGTATTAAGAAAAAGATGTACACTTACTAATCTTTACATTGAATGCTTAGCTGTCTATTTTAATTGAAGTCGTCTACTTAGATTAAAATCAAAGATCACTAGAAAGTGTACCACAAACAAAAATGAAACAGAAAGAGACAGAAAAATGCAAAAAAAGGAATTAAATATGCGTACAATTAAAAAAGATACCAGCTACTGTGTTTAGCAATTACAACACATAATGGCACGTAGCCATACCAAGTCATACCAAGCCAACAACAACGACAACAACTTTTACTATCGCAACAACAAAGCGAACTCATAGCAAACAGTGGCCATTTGTATGGCAACAATGACAACAACAATAACAACAAAAATAATTGTTAGTATGAAGCACGCACCTATTTAGTGTGCGTGCCACATTGAACTTATTTATACTTTTTAATATTAAAAACAAAAAAAAGCAACAACATCGCTATAAGCAATTTCAAGCATGTAAAGAAATTAAAAAAAAAAAAAGTAAAAAAAATTTGAACGTTGTTTTGATTTTCATTTTCTCATTTTGCCGCTTAACATTTTTGGCATTAATTAAGCCTCATTCTCTTAAGAGTTAAGACAAGTATCATCATGTCATTTGCTGAGCCTACATGATCATCTTCGCTAAAATATATCATATGTATTTCTTTTTCTGATCTTACCATTTTTGCTTTGTTTCTGTTTCTGTTTCTGTTTCTGTTGGTGTTTGTGTTTTAGTTTGTGCTATTGAATATCCTGCTAAAGTATAAAAACGTGTTCGCCATCAATACGCAATCTCGCCGTTTTTAATACCACTCCACCTCCCAGAAGTGCTTATGTTCTTTCAAGCGTTTTCATACCAAATAAATTTGCATTAAGGTACTCTTAAGTACAAGTCTGGCTTATTAATATGCCAACCTGCAACCTGCAAAAAGGTTTTCTTTCAGTTGAATCTGTTGAGCGACTTTGCAATGGGTATTGATTTTTATTTATAATATTGGAACTGCAGATCTTCTGCTAATTTGTTTACATACTGAGCTTCACTTGTTCGGCTACGTGTTAGCGCGGTGTCTGCTTATCAGAAGCTGCAGCTTTACCGCTCGTGCCCATATTACTGTGAGCTCTGCCCATTGGGGAAATTTGCTGCTTTGCTATTAAAAATGTCAAAGAGGATTAATTAAAAACCCAAGGTGGCTATCGAAATCTTCATATGTGATTAAAAATGCAACAGATTTATAGCAAGCATATATAAGTAGGCTCTACAACTCTCATGAAACTAATTATTAATATTTTGTTATTACATTGAATTATATGAAAGTTCCATGAACCATATTTATATAATATATTTGTAAATTTTAGTGGAAAAAATTTCTCAAATAATACAATCATATATTTTATAGAAGATTATTTACTTATGTATTTGGACATTACAGACGTAAGTAGATTTTTAATAGCTTTCACCAGTCAATCCGATCAGTAGTTTGTTGATGCTAGTTAGTAGTATCAAGTGCTTTTAAATTTTTGCTCACCTGATCCTTCCATCGAAAATACGATCTTTCCCTACCACCTCTTTTAACAGTTTGTATCGAATAAAAAACCTTTGTAGCCGGAGCATTTTTTCACTTCGCACGATATAGCCACTTAATTTTTATGCGTTTAACTATGTCAATATTGTGGTTTAGCTCTCACAGTTTATCATTCCATTTAATTTCATAATCGTTGCCAACGCATACGCACTATAGATTTTCTGAATATATTTTCGCTCGGATGCTTCTAACGCCTTCTCATCACTGTTGATTACTATCTAAGCTACTATACCATACTGTACTGTATCAGCAAGACAGGCATATCCACACAAAAATAAAAATCTTTTAAATACAGGTATCGAAATTCGTATTTTAATTGTAGTGGAAGTAGAAAATTAACAATTGTGATATGACTTTTTTTACATATAATAAGTCTTTTTGTCCTGACCCAAAAAAATGCAAAATTGCACTTACCTAATCCTAATATATCCTAATATGTATTGGAAATCAATGTTTTTTCCAAACTTTGGAATCATTCCCATAGTTTGACTTCGAATTGCGCACAAGTAGCTAAGACCTTGTGTATTTCTTTAACTTCTGTATTCTATTATTAATATGACAGTACTGGTGTGACCTGATATTTAAATTTTGTCGGAATAGTCCCACTTTTAACGATAGAGTCCCACTGACCGCTATATCAAGCACATGTTATGATTTCTAAACTGTTTTCAAAAAACTTTTCGATTAATCAAAAGATTATTTAGTTACCGACTTCCTATAACCATTCTATAAATCAGGGCTGTCCAGATCAGTTGCGATCGCGGGAAAATACAAATTTTGTGTAATTTCTGTTCTGGCCGCAGAAACAAGCTCATAGTTGTTATTATAAATACATTATAACATTATAAATACAGTTATAATATTAAACTTAGTTTTATTCATTTGAATTTTAATTTATTGGTATATCATCAAAATAAATTAATGTGGTTTTAACAGTACATCAAAAGAAAATTTACGTGATTGTAGTAGATTAAATACATGAAACGCACAAACATTAGAACTTTGGACAGCCCTGCTGTAAATCAAACTCATACTTTTCTATATCACAACATTATAATTATATTTATTATATATTATATTAAAATTATATTAAAACAAAAAAGTATTTTAAAATTTTTAAAGCATTTTAATATAATGTTAATAATGTCAAATTTTCTTTCAATTTCTTACTGGATAGTATACATCAAATTCGTTAAATTCTTGAAGAATTTATGTATGCAAATTGTTGATATTATATTTCAATATATCTTTAAAAAAATTTTTTAAGCCTTATTTACTTTCACCTCAACCATTGCTTACTTCAATCATCGAACAAAACTTTGTTTATCGTGTGATATAGATAAAATCCTTTTTAGTGAGATATTGCTAAGCAAATATTGCATATCAAAAGTAAAAGGATATAGCAAAAGCAATGCTGATATGGTTATGCTAAGTATTGATTTAAATTGAATTGACATTTGTGCAGGCACCAGACAGCAAGCTGGGCAGTTTCATGCAGAGCACCTCTCATCATCTCTCAGCATTAACTCATTAACTCACAGCAGGTATGCTGCATAATAGGCTACTGAATTTAAAATAGGTTGTTGTTGTTGTTGTTGTTGTTGTTGCTGTTTTCGTTAGGCCTTACCACTTACCAATTTACGATTATTTTACGATCGTGTCGTTTCATACACATACTGTTTCGTTAAGTCCATAGTGAAGCTTGAGCGAAGTATGCATATGCATGCCTATGCATATGGATATGTGTTAGTATGATTGAATAAATGAGCTTGACTTGGTGTCGGCATGATGCATTGTGGATAAATCCATTTGCATTGTGGATCGTTGGCATTCTTGTGGATCGTGCACACTTGCTGC